GAAGAGTTACAATTATGTAAACATGATCATGATTAATATTTCTAAGATTTTATAAGTTTGAATGAAATAACCATATTATAATTATGTTAACTTATTGTTATTTAGAGAACTTAACAGATAGTTATGTACTGATTTTTTTTTATAAATAATTTAAGAAAGTATATATTTACGCCTTCAAGGATCACTAATATATTGTATACAATAATTAATCAGTCATATACCCTGTGAGAGTTTATATATATTTCATTTGATTTTAACAAAAAATCATTTTTTCTAAAGAAAACCAATCATACCTTATAATAGTTTTAAGATTATGATTATACCGTTCAAAAATAGTATTAATAATATAATCGGAGTCCGTATTTACTTATTTAATTTGAACTAACAACTATTTTATTAAATTTTTATTATTAAAAAACCTTCTCAACATTAAATATATATTACGAATATAAGATTGGTGGACAATAATCTTTTATACACTAACAAGCAATAATGAATGCATACATACATAACTGTCGTCACCTTTATTAATTTTCTGGTTTCTTCTATAAGAGGAGGTGAATTAATTAAACAAAAGTTAATTATAATTTTCTTCAGTAAGAGTAAGAGCATATATATACATATATATATATATGTGTGTGCTGCTGGGAAAAGGTAGATTAATCAGTTTCCAGTTTGAAATTAGGAAAGGAGGTCAACAGAGATATTATCGAAGCTGTAGTATATATTTAACGCTCCTTTTCTTCTTCAAAATTTCAATTTGTCTTTTTATGATAAAGTTGGATATGTTCTAACTCTCAGTTCGTCCCTCTCAAAGCTTCCTCCAATTTGGGTTTGATCTGAGAAGATGAAGATTTCATCGGATATCACAGATTGTGATGCCCACTTCATCTTTCTTTTCAAGGAGGAGAAAAAGAAGACCCACTTCATCTTTCTTCTTCTCATGACACATGATTAGTTTCGACACGATTTTCTTTTCTCTTTCCATTCTTTTTCTCGGGATCCAAACATGTATAGGAGAGAGGAAAGGTAGAGAGAGAGAGAGAGAGAGAGAGAGAGAGGGAGGGAGTGTGTAACCTCCTGCCCTAATTATTCATCATCTGTTACACATTTAAAGATCATACCTCTCAAATTGCACATACAAACAGCACCATTATGGTTTATTTAATTTAATTCATCTCTATCTCGCCACAAAATCATTGAGATATATATATATATATATATAGAGAGAGAGAGAGAGAGAGGGAAGCCATTGATAAACAACAAGAGTACAGTACTAGATTATTTCTGCACATACATATATACATACACACATACATAGATACCATATATATATATATATCTTCAGTTACATCTCCTTGTTATTCATAGCTGGAGAAACTCAGGAAAGGAAACTAAAACAAAAGAAACGGAAAGTAAAACATGACATCTTAGTTTTAACCAAACTAAGTTTCTAGTACTGTATACAACTTGAACACCTTCTTCTTACCCTTTTGTCTTGTCTTAAAACCATTTTACTTACAGTCGAAGAGTCAAATCTATCTCTTCCTCCGAACTCACTTCACACGAATTGTTACTGATCAAACCATTCTCACCAACTGCACTTCCAGAATCCTCAATCCACCTCATCACCCTCTCATCATCGCCATCACCCAGGTGCAATTTCATCTCCACCGCCGCCTCCTGGTAGTAACCGTTATAACCACCTCTGAAACCGCCTGCATTCTGGGGCCCACAGCCGAGGTTCAGTGTTACAGGGCCATAGCTTGACCCTGAAACTGAAAACGGCGCCGGAGGCTGAGTCGGAGGGGGATAACGAAAAGGAGGGTACCCGGTCTGGTTGTGAGCCGGAAGAGTGGGTGCCCGTTCAGGAGCTCTAACAGCCGGCGTGTGGGGATGAGGTGGCACAACAAGTTTCTGCTTCTTGCGAGCTCTACAGGCCTCCACGAACAGCCTGCACTCCTCGTTTCGTTCCTTCCTGTGGGCATTCTGGTGGCCACCGAGCGCCTGGGTAGTGGGAAAGGTCCGGTAGCAGCGAGAACATTCGTACGGGTGAAACTCGTTCTTTCCCAAGCTCAGCCATGCACCCAAGCTCGTCTTGGAACTCGCATCATCGTTGCTTGATCCAGACCCAGAACGGGTAGTCGGCTTCCTGCAAGCAATGTTCAAAAACATGGTTGAAAAAGTGAATGAAAACGAAAAGGGGAAGAAACTGAAGCTTGCGCACAGGCACAAAGATAGATAAGAGAGAGACTGTGTTTGGGGGTTGTTGGGAGTAATGGGTATGGAAGAAAAGTGAGGAAAAGTTAAATTTATAGAGGAGAATTGGGATTATCTGGGGAGGGTTAAATTTGGGTGATTTAAACGAGGTAGAGAGGGGGATTAAGGTTTTATATACAACGTGTTGAAGGAAAGTGGAGACCTGTAAATTACATGCAGCTGTGTTGAGTGAGAGAAGACACGTAGAGGTTGATGGGTAAAAGATTAACTATGCTTTAATTTGAGTTTTTTTTTTTTTTTTCTTAAGACAACACGAATTCGATATATCTGCTTTAATACAATAATACTATGTCATCCGAATAAAAAAAATTAATAATTTTTATTTTTGATCTTATTCAAAAATTAATATTGACAATAAATTAATTTCGATTCAAATTCTAAATCTATATAATAAAAATGATGGTATAATACAAACATAATAAAAAATTTGAATGAAAATATTTTACGTTTAAGTTAAAATTTCATATTCAATTCAAACACACATTTCTTATTCTTTCTTTAACATGTGTACATGCTATGGCGGAATTGAAAATGAGAGTATCGATCTCTTGGCAATTCAACATTTTGTATGGTTCAGTTTTCAAATAACTATAGTTAGATTAAGTCTCTCTCTTTTATATTTGTTTATTTGTTGGTTGTGATTGAGTACGAATAATGGAAGATCTTCAATCATAGAAGCTCGAAAGCTTAAGTTCTTTACTCGTATGCATAAGGGAACAATAGTAAGGAAAGACCCGATCAAGAAATCAAGCACATCATCAAATACCCACAACTCTCATTGGGGCAGGAGAAAGACATATCGAGGTAAAATTGATACAAATAAGCTTATACTTTACATACTGTAGGCAACGACATATCATAACTACTCATGCCATAATCAACGAGTTAAAACTTTTCTTTAACTATATGGATTAGTACCGTTTTATTGATTTAACATGTGTAGATGATTAACTACAATCAAATTTTTCATCATTACGAGATAGTTAGAGCTAAATTGGAAAAAAAATACACAACGTAAATAAAAACTATATATTTCATTATTTTTAATCATGTGCTTATGTTATTACTGTATAAATATAAAAACTATTAAATACTTTATAAATATAAATAATTATCTTATTAGAGTCATTTTTTCACTAATGTAACAATTTTTTCACAGACATCGATAAAAATCCACAACAATCCTTACATAAACGAGGACATAATTAAAATGGGATTGCTCCTACAAGAGCAAAACATCATTAGGGATTAGTTGTACCTCCCTAATCAAGACATTCATTACCTAATTACAAGATTTAAGAATCCATTTGGCGATAATTAAAACTAAAAAGAGTTTACAATTTCAAAAACATGATCAAGTAATAAACCGCTTTTAACTAGGACGTTGAAGTTGCGAATAATTTGGGTATTATTGCTTGCTAATTTGTACCTATTATCTTTTATGTGATAAATTATCAATTTACCTTGCAAAGTAAGAATTTACAAATGCTATTGAATCGGCCTTATTTTGCAAGCATTATGGGAAAGTATAATACAATCGGGGCTCAATCTTTTAAAATCCTTCTAACTATATTGCTTGACCATCTACCCTTATATGTATAGATGGGAAATCTTGAGCTTAACGATCTAGCTAAAGTGAAATTTTTTAATATTCTTTATGCCTAATATATAAGCGTGTGTAGTTAAATTTTTTTTTTTAGTAGATGATTATACATTCGACAATTAAATAATATACAGATATCAATTATAATATCATATAGATAACCTCCAAATAAGGAGGAGCATACAGACGTACAACCCATTTCAAACTTATAATTTTTGCAGAGAAAGAAAAGTATCAACTACTAAAATAAACTAAGCAGTGGTTGGTAATATTGAATGGTAATTAGTAATTAAGTTATTGTTAACTTGTAATTAGCCCCCAAAAAGATGATAATCAAGCAGCTTGTGTGTTATACAAGGAGTAATTAGTAATTAGTAATTAGCAATTAATAAAGCAGTAATTCACCAGGGTAAAGCTGAAGGCAAAAGCACGTGGATGAGCTCGAGGGGAGTCATTTCCATAATTTGCTACATGACAGAAAGCATTAGATGAGGTTTTCTTGCTTCTTATGAGATGCATAGATCAACTTACCTATACATATATACACATAAATACATACATACATACATAGATACATACATACATACATATACAAATACATAATATACATTACCGCTTCACTCATCTGACATTGCCCTATACCCTTGATCATTTCTAGCACAAATTATAGGTAATTCAACGCTAATTTGCTACATGACAGAAAGCATTAGATGATGTTTTCTTGCTTCTTATGAGATGCATAGATCAACTTACCTATACATATATATACATAAATACATACATACATACATACATATACAAATACATAATATACATTACCACTTCACTCATCTTTTATTGCCCTATACCCTTGATCAAATTTTTGGATATAATTTTTTTCTAGCATAAATTATAGGTAATTCAATACTAATTATTTAAACATATTAACACCAAAATTATATCAATAATTCAGCATCTTTATTTAAAGTTAATTTTTGAGATTAATCTTAATAATTTTTATTAATAATTAAAGAAAATAAAAAGAAAAAATGTATGTGTATGTATATATTTAAATCTCTCTCTTCATGCATGCATGGCCACGTCGCGGTGGCTGAAATAAAACACGTCGGCGGAGAGGAAATGTCTGGTTCTGTGGCTGATGAACAAAACGAAGCACCCAATTGGGCCGACGGTTAAAGTCAGCGTCAAATTCAAGCCATGCACTTAAAAAGTCTTCAAGGCCGTGTTTGGAGTTTCCTAATTGATTTCTTTTCATTGCACTGGTAATAAATACATATACATAAATCGAGCCGATTCTTGTACGTTTTCTTTGTACGGCAGTTATAATAAAGGCGTGGGTGAGAAATAAGAGGTGAGGGTGTGGTTGCGGGTTGCACGAGCCAAGGGTGCAAATTGCGACAAACAAACATGCCCTTAGCAAAATTTGTCAACCCTATTCTTACATCACCCATGTACTAGTGGGTGTTTTTCAGGTGGTTGACATCATTACCTTTTTTTTTTTTCTTTTCCTTTTTCAGATCTATGAAGGGTTTGTTTTGAGATAAATTTAAATCTTTTGTGAAGTTTTTGTTCATAAATTTGTGTTTGATTTGATTAGAAGATGATTGGTTTAAAGTAAGATTTAAAGAATTCATATATTGTATAGCTAATAAAGTGTGAATCGATGTATAAATTTTATAAATTTCTAAGTTTTTTATTATCTAATTCAATGGAATGTTCAATTTTATGTTTGAATTTGATTCGAGAAAGCAAAAAAAGCTAAATCAAACTAATCTGTTCTAGATTTTTATAAAGTAATATCCGAATCCAATTCAGTCATTGCAATCACCGGGTGATCCAGCCCAACCCAGATTGTCATGGCTATTTGTATAGACGATTGAAGAGAACATACTCGTTCTTATTCAATCCTTCAATCGAGACTGGAACCAAGAACAATCATTTATCGTATATAGTACATGATACCTCAATGGGGTATAGATACAAGGAAAATATAAAATGTTCGCGTAACGTAACGCGCCAGGTAGATATAAGTCACTAGAACATCGTTCTTTATGATATTTGATAACTTAAAATTTTGGTAGTAGAAACAAATTTGCATTGTCCCAAAAGAAAAAGAAAACACTCACACAGGTTCCTGCTTATCAGTCGCTGCTCAGGATTCCAAACTCAACGGTACTATTAAACACGAGAGTCGTGCTCGTTACGGGACTTAACCCAGTACTTTACAGCTCGAACTAACAACAGTCGTGCACCACCGTTCAGGATCACTTTTTAATAAGAGGTAATGAAAAGAGTTATAGAATGGACTATTATGTATGATTAGGTCACATATACATGAAGAATTCCGACAACCTCAGGAGAAAAAAAGGTATTCTATCTATTACAGAGATAGTGCAATGTTTTCACATTGTACTGTATATATGTCCGGTATAATACTGTAATGCTACCATTAGAAATTATGATATTATTACCTGAAGATGGAGATAGTTATAAGTGGTATTTTATATGGCATTCTACAAGCTGCAAAAGATCCGTATAGTTCAAGTAAATATCAAAGCCCAAACAGCAATCCGCAATGGCTATTATTCCCGAGCGAGCAAAAAAGAGAAGACTGGCAAGATGGAAGAAATTATAGCATCATGGACAGATTTAAACTTCATAATCCATCACAAACATATGAAGAGTCTTACCCATTAATATCATTTTCAGGCAGAAATTAAAGTTAATGGTGATATGTGCATAGTGAGTCTACTAAGTTTTCTATTATAAATATATATATACATGGAACAAATGGAGCCGCAGAGAATATAGCATGGCAGTTCACGAACACTAATGTTTACTCCTCTGCTATCAAAAGGAGTAAGGTCATCACTACATCCCTAA